AAGCATATTGTACTTAAAGAATATGGAATCAATAGAATATCTACAAATTTGACCCTAGTTTTTATTTTTTATTTTTTGTTGTTGTTGCCAATATCTCCTTTTGTGGATTGCGAAAAGTAACTCCTTTAGTCAGCACACCTCACATGTATTTCTATCATCACTATCCACAGAGAACTCACCCAGGACGGTAAATGGACAGTCGAAGAGGAAGTGTTCATCTCCAAAGGCGCATCGGACGCTGCCCTGAACGACTCTCTAGCCACCCTCGTCGGGAACTCTTCACGTATCTTCGTCCTTCACGCCACTGCGTCCCTCACTCGCAGGATCTTCCGTGCAGCTAACCTGGTTCTGAGCCGGCACAGGAGTCGCTTCGCCTGGATTATTACGGAGAACGCCTACACCAGGAAGGAGGTGATGCTTCGGGATTTCCCTCTGGGCACCAAAGCGTTCCTGGTGAACCATGACGTGAGGTCCGAAGAGCTTCTTCAGGACGTGTTGACGTTCATCGTGGAAGCATTCAGGGGCGAGACCCACAGCCGCTCCGCTCTCATGGATCAGTACACGCCGTCTGGAGCGTCTATTTCCTCACTTTCCTCCATTGCCTCGTCGTTATCGTTCCCGTCGCACGCTTCGTCGTCGGAGCCGTCATCGTTGTTATCGTCGTTGTTGTTGTCAATGTCCGCCTATTCACCATCGTCTTCCATGGGGAGGAACAAAGCTCGGGGCTGCTGGTCAGTCCGCTCGACCACTGTCCACCCCCACCATGATCCAGTATACAGGTGAGGAAATACAAATGTTTGGTTTTGATTGTTAAATAAAACGCCTTTGATTATAACCCCCTTCCCCAATCATTATCCAGCATACAGGTGAGAAAATAATCAGGTCTGGTTTTTCATAGTTTTGCTTTTTAATTATTGAGTAAAACGTCATAACACGTACAACTTCATTAATAGGTGTCCCAGTATACAGGTGAGAAAATGATAATATTTGGTATTGATACTTTTTCTTTTAAATTATTGAGTAAAACGCCGTAATATATACGATTTCATTAACAGGTGTTCCAGTAAAAAGGTTACACGATTTTTGGTTTGAATACTTTTCCTTTTTAATTGCTGAGCGCAGTGAGACATCAAACAAAATAAAACTTCATTTACAGGAATTCCAGTACACGGGTGAGAAAATATTTTATTTGGTTTACTTTGTGGGTTCAAGTTTTAGTTTTTCATTCTTATTCTTAACCATAATTAAGTTGGACCGTCGTTCAATGTAACAGTTCGTTAACAGGTATCCCAGTACACAGGTGAGGAGATAAATCATTTGGTTTCGATTTGAGTGTTATGTCCAGTTTTATTATTTTCATATTGATAAATTTTAGAAAAAACTGTGTACAACGTAACACTTCATTCCAGTAAACAGGGGAAAGGATATTAGGTTCGGATTCCTTTGTTCTATCCAATTTTAAAAGCGTTTTTATTTTGGTAACTTTTAAATGGATCTTGATGCAATATATGTACAGAAAAGTTGGAAGACATGGAATAACACCAAGAGGCTAGCCCAGGATAGAGAAAGGTGGAAAGTGTTTGTCCGTGGCCTATACCCTGGTGCAGGATGAGAGAGGCAATGGTGATGATGATGATGATGATGAAATATAACACTTCATGAACATGTGTTCCAGTGTACCGACGATTGATTTGTTCTTTTCAAATTTAGGCGTTTTGTTCTTTTTAGTTTTGGCTTTAAAAAACAAATGCAGACGGTAGAGGGGTGCCACTTGAGATCATTTTGTGAGGTGTGCTGACAAAATGAGTCACTTCTTGCCATCTTTAATGGAGATATTGACCAAAATAAATCAACACCAGGGCAACATTTGTAGATTTTCTATTGATGCCATATTCTTTTAGTGCAATATGCCTGTTATTATTTCATATTATGTATTTCAAAAATGTATAAACGTGATGTATCTATTTCCATTATAGGGCTCGAATCCAAGAAGTAACTCATTTTGTCATCACATTTCACATATTTATTTTCCTTCGCCGATGTTTCTGTCTGTCGGTTTCACTCTTTCCCTGCTCTGAATAGCCACTATTTTGTCTATGTGCTCCTCGTTACTTACAACAAAGGTGGAAACTGGTGGTTGGCGGGTGTTGTGGTGTGGTTTGCTCCTTCTTTCCTATCAAACATCTCCCCTCCTTCTTTTTTGTATTTGTTACTCTCTTGTAACACATCTAATCTTCGGCACTTATAAGACCCTTTTGTG